TCCACACCTTCACTTCATTCGACTATGATTTGACGTGAAAGGTACTCATCACTTGGTTTGGTTTTGGGGAGAAACAAATGGGTGTCTACAGGCCTATGACAATTCGAGAAGATCGGTGTGTGGAACTGTTAAGCTATCAATTAACAAAGGCCCAATTCAAAAGATGGTTGAATTCCATGTTATAGACATAAAATTAAACCTACGTTCAAACTTTTACTTGGACGTCCTTAGATACATGAGCTTGATGCAATACCATCCTCACTTCATCAAATGTTTAGGTTGAACTATCAAGGGCTTCCTATGACTATACATGCTTCTCCACTCAAAATAGCAATAAATGATCAATTACTCTTAGAAATAAACAATGATAATGATGAAGAGGACATGTGGGGATTTGCCGTGGAGCCAATCTTCACAATTGAAATGGAAGAAGACTTTGAAGAACCATTCAAGCTTGATCCATAATCCACTCGGATAGTAAACAACATCTTACTCAAGAGTAGTTACTTTCCTTGGATGCCTTTGGGAATAAGAAAGAAGAAATCTCTCTTACTTCCTATCCCAAATAAAAGCTTCTCCTTTGGATTGGGATATAAACCAACCAAAGAAGAACTGGAGTCTCACGATTCAAAAAACAAAGCACGTAGAGACAATAATAAGAAAGGAATAAACACATTACTCCCATCCTATCAACAAACCCTTAATGGACAATTCATTAGGGAGGGAGAAGATTACCCATGCTACGACTTTCCAGAACCCTTAGTTCTGGAAGGAATCAAGAAGTCTGGATTTGAAATATTTCATGATTGCTACTTCTTGGATGACGATCTTAGTATCATTAAATCAAAACACCCAATTCTAGGGTGCTATGATAGGCAAGCATTTAACTTGCTATTTGAACTAGAGCAAAATCATGTCGCTACAATGACCAATCAAAATGCCATTCAAGATGAAGCTTTTGACCCAACCTCGTTGATCACCCTTTCAAACGAAACTTTTAAGCATGGATGGAGGAAATCTTTCAGATGGACCAATCACAAAGGTAATAAGCTGGAAATCGTCACAGGCAAAGGGAAAATGTTTGAAGAATCGGACGATGAATCTATTATATATTCTAGGGAAGCTGAAAATCTAGGCCTTGTGGCCATTACTGAGTCTTTATTTTCTAGTTCTAAGGACGAAGATCTCAAAAAGGATTCTTCTCTTGATGTACTCTCTTTTGATTTTAATAATATGAGCTCTATTTCCGAGTATATGCCTTCTCTTGAATCTTTCGAATGCTATAGCAATGAATATAATGAAGATGATAACATTAATAAATTGGTTGAACTAATGAATGAACGAGAACAAAAGAACCCTATCGTTGAAAAACCTGAAGTAGTTAATATAGGAACTAACGAAAATAAAAGAGAAGTCAAAATTTGCTTAACTCTAAATCCGAAAGAGCGATCAACCCTCATATCGACGCTCAAAGAATTCAAAGACGTGTTTGCTTGGTCATACTAGGACATGCCTGGACTAGATAGGGAAATTGCGGAACATATCATTCCCTTGAACCCTACCTCTAAACCAGTAAAACAAAATCTTCGACGAATGAAACCTGATGTCGCATTAAAAATAAAAGAAGAAGTACAAAAACAGTTAGACGCAGGTTTTATTCGCGTATGTAATTACCCAGAATGGGTAGCAAACATCGTCCCAGTCCCTAAAAAGGATGGACGAGTTCGCATATGTGTCGACTTTAGGGACCTTAATAAAGCTAGCCCTAAAGACGATTTTCCTCTACTACATATTGATATATTGGTAGATAACACGACTGAACATGCGATGTTATCCTTTATGGATGGATACGCAGATTACAACAAAATTTTAGTGGCAAAAGAAGACAAAGAAAAGACATGCTTTATTACCCCCTTGGGGTACATATTGCTACACAGTCATGCCATTCGGTTTAAAACATGTGGGAGCTACGTATCAAAGAACGACTACGACTCTCTTGCATGATATGATGCATAAATAAATAGAAGTGTATGTGGATGATATGATCGTTAAGTCCAAAGATAGAATGGGACATATAAAAGCTTTACGCAAATTTTTCACTTGCATAAAAGATTACAAAATGCGATTGAATCCACAAAAATGCGTCTTCGGAGTAAATTCTAGAAAGTTACTCGAATACGTAGTAAGCACACGTGGCATCGAGATCGATCCCTCTAAAATAAAGGCAATTGTTGACATGCCTCCCCCTCAATTAGAAAAAGAAATTAGGGGATTCCTTGGCATACTACAATACATTCGTCGATTTATCAACAAATTGACTATGACTTGTGAGCCAATATTTAAAAAATTGAAAAAAGAGGAGAAACATGAATGGGACGATCAATGCCAAAAGGCCTTTGAGAAAATCAAAGATTATCTCAAAAGTCCACCAATTTAAGCACCACCAGTACCCAAACTACCTCTTAGGCTATACATTATAGTTACAGACACAGCCGCAGGTGCCATTTTAGCACAAGAGGTAGAAAAAGTCGAGCGTGCAATATATTACATAAGTAAAAAATTCATCCAATATGAAACAAAATAGGAAAAATTGCTCCTATTAATCTGAACTTTGCCTCGTCCGCCCAAATTAATCCGAACTTTGGATTATTATCTATCACTCCCAACTTTAGGGGGTATTAATTTCTATAGCACCCAACTTATCTGCAACCGGTTAATCCAGTCAACATTTGCGTTTTAGATTTTTTTTGGACACGTGTCACTACATGAATGGTCAAATTAAAAAAATAAAAAATAAAAAAATAACCACGCACAACAACTTCCACCACCACCACCTCCCTCAAACATGCCGAAACCCTAACCCCAGCCCTCAATTTCACCGGCCAACCACCGACTTCCAATAAAAACCACCGCCCTTCCTCCACCATCCATCCCACACCCTAGAAACAACCCAGCACAACCATTTTCGTGGCTAATTGACGAGGAAGGGGGTGTCGTTTTCGTGGCTAATTGTCGGGGAAGGGGGTGAAATTAAGGGTGAGGGAAGGCAAAGGGATGGGTTTTGAGGGTAGGGGAGGGACGAACGCCATTTTCCGGAAACAGGGGAGGGGTTTCGGGGTGGGGGAAGGGAAAGGGTGAGTTTTGAGGTAAGGGGGAGTGATGGGCGGTGGTTTCCGGGAACGAGGGAGGGGTTTTCGGGGGTGGGGGAAGGGAAGGTGTGGGTTTCGAGGGAGGGGGAAGGCTGGGCGGCGGTTTTCGGCAGAAGGGGAAGGGTTTTTCGGCGGTGGGGGTGATTTTCCGGCTGGGTGGGGGTGGGGTTGTGGTGGCAGCCGCTTGGTATGGGTGGTTTGTGGGGTTTTGTTTTTGTTTTTTGTTTTTTTTTTAAAAATTTAAGCCAATCATACGCTGACACGTGTCTAGGTAACCTGCTTCATCAGGTTGGATGACATGTTGGGTGCAATAAAAATTAATACCCCCTAAAGTTGGGAGTGATAGATAATAATCCAAAGTTGGGATTAATTTGGGCGGACGAGGAAAAGTTCAGATTAATGGGAGAAATTTTTCCAACAAAATATAGCACCTTGGAAAAGACAAGCCTAGCATTAGTGTGGGTAACCAAAAAATTACGACATTATATGTTACCACACTACTCATGTGATTTCTCAACAAATCCGATAAAGTATTTGTTTGAACAACCACCTATACAAGGAAGGATATCTAAGTGGTTGGTGATGTTGGCCGAATTTGAGTTGAAATGTATTCCTGAAAAATGAATGAAAGGAAAAGTAATTTCCGACTTTCTAGCACAACATCCAATTCAAACAAGTCGTGTAGAAACTACTCATCTTCCGGATGAAGAGATTCTCATGACACAAGATGACAAATGGGTAATGTACTTCGACGGTGCGTCTAATTAAAAAGGATGTGGCGTAGGAGTATTACTCATAAGTCCAGAGGGAGCACATACTCCAATCTCTGTTAAACTAGACTTTGAGATTACTAATAATGCCGCGGAATGTGAAGCGTGCATTATTGGATTAGAAGCAGCAGCTAGCATAGGTGTGCAAAAAGTAGAGGTATATGGAGACTCCAGTTTGATTATAAATCATATACTAAAAAAATGGAAAATAAAGAACTCCGCAATGATATTATACCAAGCACACCTAGAGCAACTCATCTAGCATTTTGAACATATTGATTTTAAATATCTCCCAAGGGATGACAATCAATTTGCTGATGCGCTAGCAAAATTAGCCTCAATGATCAACATTCCAGATCATTTAAATATGATGCCATTATGCGTTGATAAAATAGAAGAACCATCGTATTGCAACGCTATATAGGAAATAAAAGACATCGAAGGAGAGAATCCTTGGTATGATCATATCCTCCAATATATTACGCATGGCACATATCCTGAAAATACTTCATCGAAAGACCAACGAGCCTTAAGAACACTTGCGGCCCAATATGGTCTAGTAAATGGTCAATTATGCAAAAAAGGACCTAATGGTCAAAGTTTATTATGTATCACTACTACAAAATATGCCTTAGAGACCTGTTTAAATAGACATAAGAGACCTCTTCTTAGGAGGTCTTTAGCTCACAGGTCTCTTTGGTTAAGAGACCTGGTCAATAGAACAAGTCTCTTTGTTATTAATAAGAGACCTAAGAAGTAAGACAACATGTCTTTTTGCGTGTGATTATTTTTTAAATTTCAAAAAGCAAAGAGACCTGTTACCATGGCCAACAGGTTTTATAGTTGTTATTTAAGAGAACTGTTAGTAACGACAACATGTCTCTTTGTTATTTTATTTATTTATTTTTTTGCCAAAAATTCAATTATAGTATTTGTTCTTGTACGGTATATGAGCTGTATTTGTTTTTGTATGGCACCTGTTGGACATATTTACCTATATTTTTCACCTGCTATTTATATGCACATCATATACATCACTCCATAATTTTATAATATTCATGAAGCATATAATAATAAAAAAGTTGATAAACGCTTTTACAAATATCCATTAATTACAATATAACTCCAAAAATACTATACATCAACATCTGCAAAACAAAATCTAGTATTCAATTCCCAAAAATATAAACCAAACTCTTTTAATTTTCATGCCATCTTAGATTACCTCCAAAAGTTTTATACAAAAAATTCTAAAATTTGCAATACTTTTCCCAAAAGTAATGGACATACTAAACTCACGTAATGTCTATACCATATTCATTTCCTTCATTAACGTCATCTTGTTCAAGCTCTAGAACATACTTAGCCCACAAGTCTCTAATTTTGTCAACATTTTCAGTTGAATATGTACAGGGGTCCGCTTGAAAAAACTGCAAGATAAACAATAAATCGCCGTATATAGTCATAACTCATTCATAATGGAAGATGATGCTATATTATAACTATATTCAAAAATAATTACACATACAAACAAATGAATATAATGATATGGGTTGAAATATGCAATGGTAGGATTAAAATGAGTCATTTGAGGGTAATTTGCAGCCTCGTCGTCAAATAAGCCCTAAACGACCTTCACTTTGTCAAATTAAGTGTAAAAATATCTAGAACCCTATTATAAAATTTATTATGCATAAATGATATTAATTTTAGTAACTAGGGTCGACTTGTGTGCATAAATCAGATTAAACATACCTTATCGGTAACCCACAATACCCTTTTCTGTATAATCTCAAGCATATAGCGACAAAAATAGTATCCACAAACTTTGGAGTATTGAGGTTGTCGAGGACACTGTTAAAAAAGACATTCAAATTATAAATGCATGAAAATTTGGCATTATAATAACATAAGCATTTAAATGACACATTATTCTTTTAATATCAAGAGTATAAACTAAAATGACGTACCTTAGGTTGCTTCCACTCAATATATGGATTCTTTTTTATCTTCTTGATGTCCTTTCGATGGACCATGCTGAATTTTTTTAATCCCCTATAGAATTGTGACATTGTTTGACAAAAACAATGAATTGAATAATTAATAATAGAGCATATATAATGCAAAAACAAAAATATTGGATAATTACTCTAACTCGTACTCATTTATGATCTTTTTAGCAAACTCATTGATCTCATTTTCTTCCCCAGCCGGATCTAACCAGCACACTAGTGCATTCCAGGGACTAATAACAGCTAACCTCCAATGCATACTACACATAATGATAGTGATTATATTAGCAAAATCAATGGTGAATATTATTGAATAGTAATTATAGAATATGCATACTACGTACACTTACTTGTCATTATAAGGAGCAAAGAAGAGTTGATTGACATTCTTTCCCTCGTTGCATCCAAAAACACGAGAAAGATAGTCGGATCAAACCTCCTCATCTGTAGTTGGTGTCATTGGAGATAAAACATTTGTGTCACGAATCCGTACATACCTGAGACACCTTCATTCTGACAATGACCTTCCAAGTACCTTGCCTCATCAAAAGTTGTATATGTTGAAGTTAATACACAAATAAATTCAAGAGTAAAGAAATAATTGGTAAAAAAAGACACTCACTTTATGAAAACATTCATTTGGGATTCTCCAACCTCTCTTTTAATACACCAATCTAACAAGTCCTCGTAGTCAAGCGTCACACCCACGTCTTCATTAAGAAACATGTATTTTTGAATTGGTATGGAGAGTGTCACACCCCTTTTTTTCAATACCATAGCATGATTATTTAACACACGTAACCATGTGGAAGTCACCATCTCACGACCCTTTTCGGTGATAACGTACTTAAGAGTCGTGGCCACTTGAGATGATGTTGAATGTGGAGATGGTGTTGTTATATTTAACACTTTTTCTTGGTGGGTAATGGTCTATAGCATGATGAATAAAAGACATTATAACATGAATATAATATATATATATATGGAAAAATTTTAAGTACTATATATGTTTTGACATTTCCTAGATATGTGGTTGGGTTAAGCTGATTTTTTTTAAAGAATTCGCATACATAACAAAATGCCCGTTGATAACACATGCTGAAAAATATTACAATGCAAACATATACCAATCATTAATTAAATTTCATACCTTTCTTGGAAAAATCAAGTTAATCGGGCAAGGTGTGTAGCTTTTCTTTGCATGATAAACATAGACTAGTTCATCATTAGGACATGGCAAGAGAGCAGTCGACACAATATCTTCTAGTTGTGACTCGAGCATGACAAGGCGGCATTAATCTAGAATGAGTAACTCTGACATCTGTTATTTTTTCTACCTGCAACAATTTGGAACACTTTGTTGTTTCCTTCTATTGCTAAACAACAATCACTCCATCCCTTAACATAAATACACCCATTTTAATCAAAAGGGAAAACTTACATGGCTATAACGTTTACATTTTTGCAGCTAATCACCATTTTTTATATATTAAGTTCGTTTCCTCTTTATTGGTTTAAATAATTCATTGAGGACTTAATTAGAATGAAAAGGCATACCTCGGGAAATTCTTTCAAATCACAACTCTGATGCATAAGGTTAGTTATAGGCTCAAGTTTATTGTTACGATCTGTTTGAGGGCAGGGAACATGATATGCCTCGGTCTCTAGGGTTTCCATATGAGATTGCGTTTTTTTTGCAATTATCTTCTTTCCTAATACCTTGTGTACCATAAATATCAGCCCCTGCTAATGAATCAGAGGTGAACCCATGTCCTTTGCTCCCTTGCTCGAAAATTTTGCTTGTTAATAGTTCAGGCCATTAGACCCACTAGCCAAACCACCAAACCCACCTGCCAGGCCACCAAACCCACCTGTCAAGCCAACACCCAGGCCACTAGACTTGTGTGGTGGCTTTTTAGTAAGTGTTTTATCTTTTTTATACAACCACTTGGTTCTTAATCTAGTCTTGAAAGCTTTTCATCGAATCGATGCTCGTGTTAGTACACAACCTTTGCGATTCTCGGGAACATAAAACCCCTTCTATGTTCATTCAAAACCAATTTATAAGTTAGTACACACACACACACGCAAAAAAACTTAAATATTAAAATAATTTTGCGATTCGAATACAGGATTAGTATATCTTACCGATATAAATCCATAAACTTCATCTAACACTCCTGTTGGAACTTATGCTTATTCTTTCACGTGCCATCACACCGATGTAGGTGGAAAAATGAGTCTTGTGTTCACCTGTGGGAATTTTTTTACTTGGATTCCATTGTAATAGGATTTGGGTGCCAGCATGGATAGTCTTCCCCACCTTTTAAGTACAATACGACCTCTCTCCTTACAACTTGACTCTTCAGAATCATCATTTGGTTGTACTTTCTTATTCTTTCTGGCCATATACCTACATAAATTCGACAAGTTAAATTTACTTTGTTAGTTATATAAAAGAACACGACCTATCATTAAATTACTTTGAGTAAAAGATAGCTAACATGGTACGTAAGAGTATATGATCTGACAAATCGTGCATAACCCTACTAAATTCTAAGTTATTAGTATTCAAGAGGAAACATTCTTTTTTTAATAAAAGTAGATATATAAAAGAAAAATTCACCTTGATTTCATGAAGAGTTTTTATGACTGCGCTTTCGCTTTCGCTTTACTTTATTATTGTTAACATTATCTTCCCACAAACCTTCATTGTGGCCATCTCTTGCGTAGATTGAAGAATCATCAGCTAAATCATCATCAACTAGTCCCTTTCCCAACAAAGAACTACCTTCCAAACACTATCATTGCCCCAATCATCTATGATATGTCGCGGTCTCGGTGTAATAACAGTAGACATTCTCTTATTTGATGGATCGGTCATATAAAACTCTTGTTTAGCTTGACTAGATAAAATGAAAGGATCTTCCTTGTAACCAATCTTATTAAGGTTAACAAAAGTCATTCCAAGGCTACTATGATCAACCCCGTTGTTATTATCAACCCATTGACATTTGAAAACTGGTATTGAAAATTTAGAGTAATGCAACTCACAAATCTCTTCAATAAATCCATAGTATCGTATTGTGCTAGAAATGGGATGCTTGTCTTTTGCACTAGCAAAATGAACAGCTTCAGCCTCTAAAGTAACCCCACTATTTTTCATTGTACTATTTTCATCTTGCAACCTTGTGTAAAATGTGAAACCATTGATAATATAACTGAATAGTAAGTAGCGTTGAAATTAGTTCCATATGCCAAACTCTTAAGTCGATCAGAAATAGAACTTGGAGAATCCTGAAGCTCCCTGAAAACTTGATCTTTGAACCACCTAATGAACGATCTATTGAGTTCATCAGCTATTGATTTCTCACTTGCCCTTCTATTGTGTTTCCTCAAGTCTCTCATGTGTTTTTGAATATATGGAATCCCTTCATCCTCAATGTGAAGAATGTACGAATGGGCCTTGTGCCAATCGCCATACGACATGTTAAGTTTTTTGCGCCCTAGGGTCCCCTGACCACCCATTCTTCCGATATGTCGAGAAACGGGAAGCCCTATCTTCATTGAATTTGATATAAATTCACTAGTATATGAAAGAACTTCTTCATAAAAAATTCGTTCAGCGATACAACCTTCTGAGTGAAAAGGGTTCTTGACATAACCGCCATACGTTTTCATTTTCCTTTCAAAAGGCCACTGATTTCTCAAGTACACATGCCCACAAAATCGCTCCTCTCTTACCAAGTGAACTGGTAAATGAATCATGACATCAAAAAACGATGGTGGAAAGTACATTTCTAATTGGCACAAAGTTACAACAATTCCATCTTCCAATGCAGTCAACTCTTTTAGATCAAAGACCTTGCTATAAATTGTATTAAAAAAATAAATAAAGTTTGGTTATGGAAAATCGAACATTTTTAGGAAAATTTGAATGAATAGCCACTGGTAAAAGATGCTGCATTAGAACATGGAAATCATGAGATTTAACACCCATAAGTTTCAAGTTTTTCATATTCACAAGGTTGCGAATATTTGAAGAATAACCCTCTAGCACTTTTACTCCAGCCAAGCTCTCACAAAACTCAATTTTCTCTTTTCTTGACAATGTTAAGCTGCTGGAGGCAGGTATGCTTGACCTTTGTCATTCACAATAGCATGGAGTTCACTTCTAAACCCCATGATCTATAAGTCATCTCTAGCTTTCGTGCCATCTTTAGTCTTCCCATGAATATTCAATAAAGTACCAATCAAACTGTCACAAACATTCTTTTCAATATGCATCACGTCAAGCCAATGTCACACAAAAAGGAATCTCCAATAAGGTAGGCACCATAAATATGAACACTTCTTAAAGCCTTGCGTAGGAAGAGCAGACCTATGCTTTTTCCCATATGTAATTTGAATGTCTTTAACCTTTTGGTACACCTCTTCACTTGATGGAACTCTTGGGCGATCTTTAAACTCTTGTTTCCCATAAAAGGCCTTTTTCCTCTAATGAAATGGATGACTCGACGGAAGATATTGCCGATGTAAAGGGATCACATGCTTGCGTGATGCGCTCAACCATTCTCCCTCGCAATCCTCCATGCCTATGGGACAAGGTGCTTTCCCTTTCACGGTATACCCAGAAAGATTACCGTAAGTAGGAAAATCTTGGATGGTGTTAAACAACATTGCTTTCATGATAAAGTTCTCATTACAATGTGCATAAAACACCTGTATACCATCCTCCTAAAGAATAATCAAATCATCAATGAGAGGTTCCAAATACACATCAATGTCATTACCAGGTTGTTTAGGCCCAGAAATGAGCAATGCTAAAAACATATATCGTGGCTTCATGCACAACGAAGGGGGTAAGTTATAAGTAGACAATATAACGGGCCATGTACTATATGTGCTACTCAAGTTCCCAAATGGATTGAACCCATCATTAGACAATGCAAGCCTTAGATTATGCTTCTCTTTTGCAAAGTCCGGGTATTTTCCATCACTAAACCTCCACTACGGAGAATCGGCGGGGTGTCTAAGCATTCCATCATCTAATCGACCATAATGATGCCATTTTAATTTCTCTGCATCCCCTGCATTTGAGAACAACCGCCTAAACCGTGGTATTATTGGAAAATACCATAATACTTTTGTTGGGACTGTGCCATCTTCTTTCTTGTAACGCGAGGCATTACAAATTGAGCAGCTTTGTAAAGATTCATTTTCATTTCGATACAACATGCAATTGTTAGGACACGCATGGATTTTCTCGTAAGGTAAACCCATAGAGCTTAAACTCTTTTTTTCCTAATAAGTACCAGATGAAAGGACATTGTCTTTTGGAAGAATGTCTTTGACAACTTCTAGTAGCATGCTGAAGCCTGTATCAGTCCAACCATGACCTTCCTTCAAGTTGTATAACTTGATTATCGCAGACAATCTAGTATACTTAGTGCAACCGTCATACAAAGGCTTTTCAGAGTCATTTAAAATGCTCTCAATTAAACATGGTAGGATTATCATCAAAGTTATCCTTCACTGAATGCAACATATCTTCCAAATTATCAGCCTCATTTATTTTATCACCTTCACACACACTACCCTCTACATTACTAACAAGAGGTTTTTCCCTACATTCTCCATGCCAAATCCAATTCGTATATGTTTTATCAAATGCCCACTTACTCAAGTGATTAAGTATTTCGTCAGGCCTCTTATGTAGTAAATTGTGGCACATATAACAAGGACATGGTAGCTTGGGATGACCTTCACTATTAGTAACTGCAAAATTAATGAACTCTCTAACACCTGCTTGATATTCTGGGTCACCCAATTGTTTTGTTGATATCCAACTTCGATCCATTCTATATACACCAATAGAAATTCAAGACTAATTCATAATAATCATAATATTTTCGAAAGCGATAATGTCTTCACATGTATGTACATGTAAGTCTTGGGTCCTTATCACTCCAACCGAACTCGAATTTGTTTACTAAATCTCACTAGTGAATGCATACTCACTTATCACTTTAAAAAAAAAATTAGTGGCATTTCCTTAGAGTTCTCCGCATACACTATGTTGATTACTATTAGTATCAATATATTTAACCGAATAATGTGTAAATCCTAAATGACTAGGTGAATTCAAAATATAATAAAGACACTAATGTTTCAAATTAATTGCATTCCTACAATAAAAAGATTCATAAGAGGAACAACAAAAAGAGATATGTGGCAGTGAACATAAAAATAGTAGCATCCTTGTAATGTATGTAAGGGGGTGACAAAGATATTAATTTAGAGAATACAACAAATATTTTACTAGATTAGACAAAATATTTTTATCAAACGAAATACGACAAAACCGTACTTTTCATGGGAAAATCAAATTTGAAACCATAACCCAAACAACTACCATATATGCAACCATAATTTTTACACCTATAAACTAAACATGAATCATCTTAATTTAAATATCATATCAATTTAGAACATTGTATTCAATTAGAGAATAATAAAAAGAAACATAAAATCCATTTACAGCACAATAGACTTCAAAAGCAAGACAAATTAGTATATATATACAACATATAAAAGCTGAAGCTAGTGAGTAGTATAAGTTTAATTAAGAAATCAATTTTAACCTTAGTATTAATAATTTGTCTGGGTAAGGAACATGAATGAAAAATATCTTAAAAAATAAGGGGTTTCTGGTTGTGGCGGGAAATCGATCAAAGTAGTGCAATTCCTTGTATTATGGCTGAAAATTGATTAATTGATAGTTAACAATGAAAGAAGAACGAAATTGTGGTTGGGAGACGTGGCCCGGAAATCGAACGGCTTACCTTGTACAATCACCTGAACAAACGGAGTGGTTGCTAGTCGTGGTTCGAGTACGCTTTAGATGTTGGCGACTTTGTAAACTTCATGATAGTGACGACCTTACAAAGTAGATGATGGTGAACACAATCTTGAAAATGATCGCCTCTAATTAGGTAGTGAAAAACTTGGGAAGGAAGCCATAAAATTTCAAGGGTTTGGATTATTGGAGGAAGAAGATGAAACTAA